CGGAGGTGTTTTCCGGGGCAGTGCCCGGCACGCGTGTACACAGGTGTCCAGGACGGCAAAGCCGCAGAGCAAATCAACCCGCGCAGCAGGGCAGTAGGCATGGTTGCCGGCAGCATGACCCACGGCCAGGTCGCAGAGGCACCGGGCATGAGCCGCCGCACGATTTGGCGCTGGTTGCCACGCGACAGAGGCGAATAGAGGCCTGAGAGCAAGGGGGCGGTCGCGACAAGAGTTTCGTCAAGCCGGGATACCCGGCTGACGAAACTCTTGTCGCGACCGCCAATCTCTATATTTGCGCTATAGCGCAAATCGTCATCGCAAAGTGCAGTGCTAAAGGGCCAATCCACAAGGAAACTGGCAGGAAGGCTGACTGGCAACGGTCATTCAGCATAGAAGTCAGCAATCCATCCATACCTGGGTTGTCACTAAACCAGAAGCCCACCAAGCCACGTCTCCAGCTGAAAACTTCTGCTGAACATGTCCCGAGCAATCTTTTAACAGGATCATCGAGTTTAAGCGACGCAAGATCGATGTCGATCGTACTTCCCGGCATTTTGGGAGGACAAATTGCCGGGGAATAGCCCCGGCCCCTCGCCGGTAGAAAATCTCTGGGCAATCGATGGCACGGGAACATCCGACGGCACGCTGACCAGCAACGCTCGATCTGCTTGGTCATAGATCAGTCAACAGAAGCTGGAGAAGTTAATGTCTGGCGTGCCGGACCGTATTCTTGTTTTTATCAGTGAGAAGTGTGGATACCTACATACTTATGTAAGAAAAGCGCAATCCTCATGTTGTTATTTTCATGCAATGGACGCTACAAGGATGTCACATTATTTTTGGGACACCCTGTAGTTTTGATGCCTTCGTAGCGTGTTTCGAAGCTGTCAGAGGCGGTTGACATCTTCAACGGATACCCGGCAGACCCTTACTGGTTGACCTGACATGACCTTGCTTAAATGCATGAGACATCATCTGTGATCAAAGCTAACATGCTATTCATGATCTGCACCCCGAAAACTCCACAACAGCCACACTAACGACATTCTTACAGGCAGGGCTGCGGAGTCGACAGATTTTCGGCGACTCCGACTCCGACTCCGACTCCGGCTTTCAAAAACCAGCTCCGACTCCGACTCCGGGCAGAATTGTCGACTCCGACCGACTCCAACTCCCGACTCCGACTCCGCAGACCTAGCAGGGCTGCGGAGTCGACAGATTTTCGGTGACTCCGACTCCGACTCCGGGTCGGGTTTCTAAAATCGACTCCGACTCCGACTCCGACTCCGGTCACAACTGTCGACTCCGACCGACTCCGACTCCGACTCCGACTCCGACTCCGCAGCCCTGCTTACAGGTTCCGATTTTCCCGACTTTTGGGTCATTGACCTGACCTGGAAGGTCAACCAATGACCTAGGACCTTAATATTGGGTATCTTCGGCTTCCTCTTGTCAAGGGCAACGCGCTCGTTCTAGCTTGAGCAGGGGTCAAACGGCAAGGGGTCCGACTCCCCCCCCCCCTCGTAGTTGTATGTATACAACCCTGCGTACCCCCACTCCCTCGGCCTATGTGGCAAACCAAAAGGTCAGACTATAAGGGTTAAAGGTAGTGTGCCAGCTTTCCTGGACCGTATGGAGTTAATGGCCCAAATAAGGAGAACCGGATTTTTAGAACTTATCCATACCTTCAAAACTCATGGAAACGTCTTAAATTCTTCAAATTTTGAGTACCCCAGTGCGAAATTCGCCCCGACGGGTTGTCGGTCGTACCCCAACCACATTTCACACCACTATGAACAATAAACGCACACACTGAAATCGCTATTACCGATATGCTCATCCAATCAAGTTTCGATAAACCCGTTCATCATCATCTCCTGCGGTTTCGAACACGCCTGTTAGGTGGTGCGGTAGACCGCGCCCAAAGCCAGGGCCCCGGTAACGTGAGGTAGCCGAGTCGGGGCAGCGTGCGCTGACCCAAGCCGGGGCCGCGCGTCCTCCCGGTGTCATGTGATAGCCCGGGGCTGCCCGCGGGGATGCGGTAGACCGCGCCCAAAGCTGCGGCCCCGGCTTGGGTCAGCGCACGCTGCCCCGACTCGGCTACCTCACGTTACCAGGGCCCTGGCTTTGGGCGCGGCTTCTGCTCATACTTAGTGGTGCGGTGGTGGTGCGTCGGGCCGCGCGCTCTGACTTCGGCCAAGAAATATGCGTCAGCTGATCATTGTCATTTCTGCCACTTGCGTGTGGTGAAATTGGGTCATAACTTAAGAGACGGCTTTTTCATATCAATTATTTTACATAAAATCATATTTCAAACCATAAATAATGTTCGACAGCCAAATAAAAGAAACAATACCTACCAATACAGGCTTACAGTTTAAGGCTCGACATTGTGTTGTCTACGCTTAGACAGCTGATAACTCATTCCCGTACGTCGTAGCTCTATAATGACCTTTGCTTATTGTCACATGTGCGCCGCATTCGCGATTGTTGCCGACGCCTGTTTGCAGGTCAGCCCACTACAGTTGTTATACATATCGAAAAACCGATAAACTTTTAGGCGAAAAAGGCACTATTCTAGGCCCATTTTTGATTTTTTTTTTGCGATATTAGGTAAAAACAGAAGCTTCTTATCCTAGGAAAAATAAAATGGGAAATCTTTCAAAGGTGGCACACTACTTTTAAGGATGCCCAAATAAAAGTGATGCAACGCTCTTCTGGTTCATTCGATTGAAGTAAGCATATTGAAAGGATAGTGGTCTGATAATAAGTAAATAAAACAGTATTCTATGTATTTTAGCACTACATAGCTTTCATTATCACAGGCAGCAGAAAGCATATTTAAGTTAAAATGTACCCTGTTTCAATATGCCGTGGTTCTATGAAAAAGTTACATAGTACAGCACATTCTAATGAAGAGTTTTCGCACGAAACACTCACACTCGTTGTTAACGCTGATTCAATCATCGTCTGACACATTCCTTAAATCCACAACACATTAACAGCCGGTAGTTGGAAGCATAGCCGCACATCTACAGCAAAAACTGCATCGCATGCATCTGCGTGTATTGTGAATGCAACATTATTCGTAGATACTTGACATGTCCGCGATGCCTGGCAAGTAACTTCAACAGCTCAAATCGCTCAAAGTAAAATGAAAATTTAACCTAAAGTAGTGTCTACCGTTGCGAGTTCTTTTAAACACCATTGCAAAAACATACAGTTGCAAAATCGACAAAGTGCGCCAATAAAATGCAATTTCATTAACCCGCGCCCTGCTGGGGGGGGGGGGGTGGTGTTTGAACACCCCCCCTTGTGGTTTTTCGCGAATATCTCAAAAACGGCGGCGCTCCCGCCGCCATTTTTGGTAAACCTTATCATACATTAATTCTACACATGTTGTAAAAATTTCAGACCAAGGTCATTCAAGGCCAGGTCACCAGGTCACTTGAAGTGACCTCACCTCATAAAAAGTTTCAATGTCTGTCATAGCTACACCGAGTGACTGATCGCTTTGAAACTTTCAGCGATTGCTAAGAGCAATAGCATGTACAAAATGTATATCTCAGAATTTTGATATCGATGACCTAAGGTCAGGTCAGTTTTGCGACCTCCCCATGGAATCCCCATGGAGTCAATGGAAGAAAATTGAAATGCGCCTCTTTTGGACGAAAGACATTATAAACACTCCCAAACACCGAATTACAAGTGGTTTACACACACTGAACATGAAAATGGTGTCCGTGACCCTTGTTTGTGCCCTGAGGTCATCTTAGGTCACGAATGGTATCTAACAGTTTTTCGCAAATAACTTTTGATAGAGGCATGCTAGAGCGATGAAAACGCCATATGTGTGTTCAGCTCGACGATACGGATCGACTGATATGCAACATGACCCTTTCCGGTCAGGTCATGACCTTGACCTGAGGTCAAATTTTCAAGTTGACCTTTCAAGGTCAAGTAATAGTTCATTCGATGCGTCTTGACGAGAGGAACACGATGCCGGTGAAAGTAAGCTCGTACAAGGCTTGGGTCAAAAGTTATTGCAGAAAAACTTTCCGAAAAAATCGGCTATTTTTGCAGTTTTTGCCCCCTGCAGGCAAAACTGTTGACGTTAGGTCAAATCTGAGTGCAATACTCAGAAAGGGCGTTAATAGGGCTATCGAATGCACTTTTCCGCGGCGCTGTAGCTCTATTGGTTCCCGAGTTATGCGTTGGCTTCTTGGAAATTTTCGACATTCGACCTGGAAATCGGCGAAATTTTGCCTTCAATGACCTCTGGTGACCTGACCTTTGACCTGACTAAAAAATTGACCGAAGTGATTTCCTCATTATTTTTGACGCTCTTTCGAACACCGCCTTCCGCGTATCGCTACGTGGCCCAGGAGCCGAGTTACAAGGCAGGGTGTTCAAACACCCCCCCCCCCCCAGCAGGGCGTGGAAATCCAGGACCCCCAGCCGGGCGCGGGTTAAATATTGATTCGAACACGAGCTTTGTTTATTTTTTACGGAGAAATTCAGGCGTCTTCTGCGAAAATCTGTCTTGATCCTGCATCTGTCATTAGTTTTTAATATGTGTATTTCGTGGGCGGCTGACGAAGGAAGACGGATGTCGTCTGAAAGTGTCCACAAAATAAATAAAGCTTGTGCCTTTTTTTATAAATTTAGTCCGAACCTTTTGATGGGAAGGATTCACAAGGACAGAGCCACCGCTAAGCGAAGCTTGTTGCGATGACCCTGCCCTCTACCCTCCGATCGCGCAATTCCGATTCTATGGCAGAATTTAGAGTCCAAAGTTTAACGTGCGCACAAAGCCGCGCACGGCCGGTCCCCTCGCTGACTTCGCCTGGCTACGGCCTGCCACCAACCGCAACCATACCTGTCAGGAGGCCCATAAATGTCGAGCGCCCGTCGCGCTTCGAACCCGGACTGTCATAACCGGGAACGCGCGCTCTCACCACGCGGAGTCCAACGCTCTAACCAACTGAGCTACGGGACCGGCTTAGTAACTTTAACGAAACAATACCGCTGTCCCACACGAATGCACCTATTTTATCATAAACCTGAATCTAGATCATACTGCCTGAAATAAAGGGACGTGCCTTCGTCCTTTACCTTCGAGCAAATCACATGTCTGATATTGACTAGGTGTACTCAACCGGCTTTGCATTATTCCTCGTTGTTTCCCAGCATATTTTGTAAGCTAAACTTATCAAGAAACATGGTTGGTTTAAGGGACAAGTCCACATTTGTGTTTAGCACTTCCCATTCCTTTTTCTTCAGAATCTTGTACTTCCAGATTCGCATGGCATTTGCGCACTTGGTCTGAATGTTGTTCACTTCGGTCCAGCTGAGGGAGCGAGCCCAGTTGAAGGGCGCCGTTGTAGAATTCCGGAAGGTACTGCGAAACAGAATACAATGAGCTAGCAATGCACGCTGAGCTAATAAGCACGCATTTGATCTGGATAATATACTGGCTAGCCGCTTCAGAGGCGGATCCAGCTCAGAGTTTTGGAGGGGGGGGGGGGGAAACCATAACAATTTATCGATTATTTCCATGCCTCGTCCATAGGCGTAATGTTAAAATTATGCCGTTTGGGAGGGGCAAATGCCCATTTTGCCCCCCCCCCTGGATCCGCCACTGACTGCCGCTTAGCCAGATGTCATAATGCCAGATGTCTTTTTAACCCGCGCCGGGCCCATGGGGGGGGGGGGTATTTGAAGTTTGAACACCCCCTGTGGTTTTTCGCAGATATCAAAAAAAAAAAAACGGCGACGCTACACCTGTTCAGTGTTAATGCGTCTTTTCCGCACATGTTGTGAAAATTTCAGACAGGGCTTTCAAGGTCAGGTCACCATGTCACGTCAAGTAACCTCACCTTAGGAAAAAGTTTGAATCCTCGTCATAGCTACACCGACTGGCCGATCGCCTTGAAACTTTCAGCGATTGATAAGAGTAACAGTACGTACAAAATGTTAACCCGCGACCGCGTGGGAGGGGGTCGGATCCGACCCCCCTCCGTTTTTCTTGAATAACTCATGAACCGCTTACGCTATCAACTTGAAACTTGGCATACCTTCTCTTCCATCAATTTGACATCTTCTGTGTAATTTTTAAGAACATTTTTTCCAAAAAAAAAATAGATATATCGATTTTAGTAATGTAACTACATGGCGTTTTCAGTCAAAAAGTGGTAAATGTTTAAGAAATCGCCAAAAATCAAGGCTTAAAGCAAATTGCAAATTAAGGACATGAATAGGCGCAGCTCAACGATTTCTTTTAACATGGTTATCTCGGATTTTCCATTAAATGCGTTTTTCACCCATAAAAATTCAAAAAACTATATTTTTTGGAAACAGCTCATAAAATCCAAAATTTTGAGAATTTCCAAAAAACCGGAATATGTGTTATAGAGCTCTATTAGAACATTAGATGTCCCAAATTTCAACTTTCTATCTTGATTTTTGACCCCCAAATTGTAAAAAAATAGCTCCAACATCCATTGGGCATGGTGACGCCATAAGCATTTTCGTGAATTAGAGACACTTCTGAGCATCGCATGTGAAAACAAATGACACCACTAGATTCCTGGGACAAAGGTCGTCTAGAAAAAAGCATTTCCGAAAATCAAAACTGATATTCGCAGCCTGTGACACATGTTTTATGGGTAATTTGGGGCGTAGAACACGATGGTGACATTCATTTTGTCATATGTGTACGTGTTTGGCTCAAAAAGTTCAATTTAAGAAATGCATGTATCATGGTCGTGAAGTAGTCACGAGAATTTGCCAAGTTTCAGTTCAAGATTTTGGAATATGCGGAACGATAATCAATAATCGAAGATTGCCATTTGATTGTTCAAGGTATTGGCAGTCTAATGGCGTTTACGGCATGTCTGTATGTCTATTTTGTGCTTTTATATGATTTTTTGAACATATGCCGTTTTTGGTCGAAAACTCAGAAATCATGACGTCACTAAAACCTCAATATCTCAAAAAAATTCCAAACCATTTTTTTAAACTTTGTCACAATAAACTTCAATCGATTCCCTACAGGTACCCAAAATTTGGCGCGCCGTTTTTATGCTATGGCCCGGCAAAAAAAGTGGGGGCGTTTAACGCCCCCCCCCCCCAAGCAACTCGCGGGTTAAAGGCCCCCCCCCCCCGCCCGGAATAGGGTTAAGTTAAACGATTCAAAATAACACTTCAAAGTATTTGTTGAATAAAACAGACTTGACAAGAAACCGTACTCAGAAAATCCACTATAGAAGATGCATATTTACTGCATATGGATACAGAATTACCATCTCAAGTTCAGGTAGGGATGCTCAGCAAACTCTTATGCAAATCATTTTTCTATGCTGCGTTATATTCGACTTGACAAGCTTTGTTTACAAATTATACCGGAGAGACTACTGTGTATGTAAAACTCGTGAGTACACGGCTCGAGATTCCGATGACCCAGTCCCCAACCAGCTACCCGCTGTAAAGACAAATGCGGGTGATTGCTGCAGAGTGGCACAAAGTGGTATCATCGCTATGTGTCGACGTACCACTGATATAGACCGTGTCTTTAGTTGCTTGAGTTGAATTACAGCTGCTACAGTTCCAGACGGATACTAGGGGTAGGAAATGATGGACATTGGACAATGTATTTATAGCAGTGATCGACATCAGCAATGCGTCAAGAGATACCTGGACACGCCGCCTTTGGAGAAGGTCGTGTGCGTTTTGACGAAGTCGCGAACCCTCGGATGGTACTGAAGGCCGACAAACTCCATCAGGGCCGGAACAGAGGCGGCCACGTTCACGGAGAAGTCCTCGTAGCGAACCACCCTGCGAATCAATCAGACACCTTTGAGGACAGACGCCGGCGGGATCTCGATTCAATCGACACGCAAACAAGCATTTCCACATGTCATGTGATGAACATGCATGTCTTCCAAGCGCTAGTCGAATGCCGCTAAGCCGAGTGCTGGAGTCCGAACAATTTGTAATATGTAGTCGCGTCGCACTAACCTTCTAACTAGAACAGTGGTCGGCAGGCCCTCCGGGGTCGTGCCCCCTTTTCGGGCGCCAGGCAGGGCCATTACCCCCACCCTACCAGACACCATTGCATTACACAACCGAGCTCACTGAAATGTCATACCTTTCCGTGACTCTTTGGGTATTTCGGGTTTTATTATGTAAAAACGTCGGATCACGACACAATTTTACCCTCGAGCCGATCATTTTTTTTTTATCTGCCATAAAACATGTCATATACATTGACAGAAATAACTGTTGACTTGTTAGGCAGTTGTTTCTTGAGATCATGGAAGGTCATAAAATTTAATTCTAGAAGGTAGAGCGGGTTCTGAACTTCTGATCTACTCACCCAATGGCCAAGGAAGTTAACCGTCACCCGTATTGGTGTTTTGCCAGCCGCTAATTTATGGGGGGGGGGGGGAGAAATTCGTTGGACCCCTCTTTGTCGTTCGGCCCCTGATCAAGCATAAGCTTCGCGGAAAAAACGAGCGTGTTGCCCGTGACGAGAGGAAGCTGATGATACGCGATTTTAAGGTCCTAGGTCATTGATTGACCTTCCAGGTCGGCTCAATGACCCAAAAAGTCGGAAAATCGAGACCTGTCAGAACTTCGTAAAGTGAGGATGTTGTGGAGTTTGTCGGGGTACTGATCACGAATTTTATCTAAGTTTTGATCACAGATGTCTTCGTGCATTTAGGCCAGGTCGGGTCAGGTCAGGTCAACCAATAGGCGTCCTGTCGGGTATTTATAGTAGGCCACTGACAGTTTCGTAACATGTTACGAAGGCACCAAAATTACTTGGTATATGTTCAAATGGTTGCGAAATTCTAGCTACAATGTATAAAATTGATAAACCTGTACTGAAAATGTCATCCCGATCGGCCGCTTTTTGCGCGAGTTATTCGCGAAAACCCGAGGAAAAGGGAGGGTCCCCTATAAGTGCGAAGGTTAAAATTGGGTAGCAGCGTCTTCCTATCGTCACGGGTAGCACGTTCATTTTTCTACCGCAAAGCTCCAGTTCAGATTTCAGAGGCCGAGAGGCTGGGGTCCGACCGGCCCCTCCCCGTTTACGTTAGCTGTTATGAAAACGCCAATAGAGGGGCGACGGTCAGCGTTCGATCTTTGAACCCTGAGACCAAATAGGCGTGATGTCTGTCCCATCAAGGGAGACATTAATTCTAAGATAAGGCTTTCTCAGAGGCCCCCATTACCCCCCGCCGAGGGGCTCCATTACCCCCAAAGGGGGCATGCCCCACCATTTGCCGACCCCTGAACTAGAACATGTCACAGTAAATAAAACACATTTTAAACACAAGTGATAAGTCTGAACACAACAGACGGCCGACGCAACGCTATCGCCTCGGAACTGACAATCGTTAGCATGTACATAGCACTGTTCGTATAGTAGCTCTTCTCGTATAAATGTTTGCATAGCACTCCAAACGATTTCGTACCAATAGCGTCTCAACTCTGCTCAATGAAAATAACTATTCGTGCGGTGTTTCACTAAAAACAGTAAAACGCCTTTTGGGGCGACCAACGGAGCTTGAGGGGGGGGGGGGAGCTTGAGATCGGTCTAGTGGTTTTGCGAGAGGGTGGGCCTTGCACGTGCGAAGTTGCGAGGGGGTACCTCCAACTAAGTTGAGCACTGCACCCTACTAACCGGTCCCTAGCGATGTGCCAAATTTGAGCGCAATCGGCCCAGCCGTTCTCGAGATCTGGAATCGGCCCCTGCACGTGCGCACGTGCAGCAGTATCCCAACTGTGGCACATGTATATCCATTGCCTAGTGGGCCAACTTTCAGCGCAATCGGCCCAGTAGTTACCGAGATATTGCAATTTTTACAAAACTGACACCTCTTCGTTTTGCACGTGGCACTGCATAAGGTGTCACCCACATGCATCACGAATAGTCCAATACTTGGTAGAGGGAATGAAGCTACCCTACAAAAATTACCGCATGTAAATCGGTCTAGTGGTTGCTGAGATATAAGCCTCGCAAAAGCGTCCGCACGGCCGACCGGCCGCTCATACTCAGAAATTTCCGTGTATCTACGAAGACTACGCTCGCTTCGCTCGCTCCGTAATATACAGGGTGGGCCAGAATAAGTGTAACACTTTCTGACGTCGGTTTCTCAAGACTGGTAAGAGATATGAAAATAAAATGTTGACAGCTTGTAGAAAAACGTTTGCCAAATCATATCGTAATATTTGTCTCGAAAAAAAAAAAATCCTAGCAAGATAAGATTATCGTCATAACCAAAACAACAACATTTGCGTGTTTTCTTTTATTTGCGCATGTGCTCGAAGTGGGCACCTTTGCGCTGCAAACACATCTGCACGCGTTCGAGGAAACTGGCTCCCACCCTCTCCGCGGTGTCCGCTGACACTTCTCGGACGTATACTGCTGAACACTGAGACGCAGCTCCTCCAGACTACTGGGCTTGTTGCGGCAGACGTTCTCTTTGCACGCTCCCCAAAACCAAAAATCCAGCGGGTTTAGGTCGGGGCTGTGACTTGTGAGATGCCCACTCTGTTTCGTTTCCCTTCGAGATCACTCGGTGACCGAACAGTTCTTGGAGCAGCTGAAGAGTCTCCCGAGCCGTGTGGGGTGGTGCTCCATCCTGCATGAACCATGCCAGTCTCATCTGAGTCTCCGTCATTGTTCTTATGTCTTCATGAAGCCTCCAGGACGTCGCGGTAACGCTCCTGGTTGACTGTGACCGTGTTTCCGTCCTCGTCCCGTCCTGAAACCAGTATGGACCGAGAAGTCCGTGTCTGGTGTTGAAGGCGACCAAGCAGGTTATCTTTGCCCCCATTCGGCCAGTCTCAGTGACTTCCTCCGGCTTCCTTCCGCTCCAGTACACGTTATTGTGGGCGTTAACATGCCCGTTAGGGTGGCACTTAAAAATCATTTTTTAACCCGCGCCGTGCTGGTGGCCTGAACTTTCCGCCGAGTGCTGGGGGGGGGCGTTTTCACGCCCCCCCGTCTAACTCGGCTCCTGGGCCACGTAGCGACACGCGGTAAGCGGCAATCGAAAGAGCGTCAAAAATAAGGACGAAAACACTTCGGTCATTTTTTGGGTCAGGTCAAAGGTCAGGTCACCAGAGGTCACCAAAGGTAAAATGTTGACTATTTCAACATTTTGGAAACTGCCAACGGCTATCTCGGGAACCGATAGAGCTACAGCGCCGCGGAAAAGCGCATTCGATAGCCCTTTTACAGACCTTTCTGAGTAATGTTCTCAGATTTGACCTCAGGTCAACGGTTTAGCCTCCAGAGGGCAAAAACTCCAAAAATAGCCGTTTTTACGAAAAACGTTTTTTCGTCAATAACTTTTGACTCATAAGCGCCATGACATTACTTTTGCCAGCATCGTGTTCCTCTCGTCGAGACGCGTCGAATGAACTATTTGTTGACCTTGAAAGGTCATTTTGAAAATTTGACCTCAGGTCAAGGTCATGACCTGACCGAAAAGGGTCATGTTGCATATCAGTCGATCCGTATCGTCGAGCTGAACACATCTGACGTGTTTTCACCGCTCTAGCACGTCTCTATCAAAAGTTATAGCCAAAAAACTGCTGGCGACCGTTCATGACCTAAGATGACCTCAGGGGCACACAGAGGGGTCACAGGTGCATTTTTCCTATTCAGTGTGTCATGTTTACCTATGAACCGATGTTTGAGAGCGTTTTGAACGATATTCGTCCAAAAGAGGCGCATTTCAATTTTCTCCCATTGACTTATAATGGAGAGGTCGCAAAATTGACCTGACCTTAGGTCACAGATATCAAAAATCCGAGATATACATTTTATACATACTGTTACTCATATCAATCGCTGAAAGTTTCAAAGTGATCGTTCAGTCGGTGTAGCTATAGCGAGCCTTTGAACTTTTTCTGAGGTAAGGTCACTTGACGTGACCTGGTGACCTGACCTTGAACGGCCTAGGTCTGAAATTTTCACAACATGTGCGGAAATGATGTAGGAACACGTGTATCAAAAACGGCGGCGCTGCGCGCCGCCGTTTTTGAGATATTCGCGAAAAACCTGAGGGGGGCGTAAAAACGCCCCCCCCCCAGCACGGCGCGGGTTAATTTTTAATGCGTGCGGGTGGTTTTCCGGTTCCATTCCCGTAAAAAATAAGGGAGGCAAATTTGTATGGAAAAATATTGATGTTTAGAGGTCGCGAATCAAGGTCAAAATTGAGATTTTGGTAGCAGATTTCAATATCATTAAAATCGTTTCTGACTTTCCTATTACGCTGTAATCGGATGATAATAAGGCATTTCTTAGTAATTTTCATATTGTTTATTGACATTTCATGCAGCTTCGGTCACACCGAAACGCTGGTCTATGTACTCCACTACTCCAGTTCCTTCTCTTTAGTAGATAGATTATTGGCGCCTCATTGGAGGGAGGGGCATCATGGGCAACGGGCACCCAGATCACTTTGTGTGTAGCCTGGTTAGCAATTTGCAGTCGATCTTCGGGTGTCAGGATAGCCTTTTCTGTGATCTTTTCAACGACATGGAGGAAGAACTGGCGCTGAACCAGTACCCACGTGCCACCATTGATACATTTGTGAATGAACGTATAGTTACGTAAGACGCAACTCATGATTACTATAGTGGTGTTGAGATGGCGTGAGTGTGTGGTTGCAGCCAGGGGTCACTGCGGAGGTATTGAAAATTGGATAAAATTCCGAATACGTTTTATTTTCTTTTGCAATGAAATAGTATATACAACTTTATTCAACAGTTTTGTCAAATGTAAACACTATGGGCATGATCTTGACTCCCCCACC